CAAAACCATGTTAGTGCAGAAGATATTGTCATCTCAATTCCTTGAGCATTATGAGCAATAGCTTTCAATGCCTGCTCAATTGATGCCCGAGAACTGGCATCAATCAAGTAAATGTCAGAAAATCTAAAATAAAATTTAATAACAGTTGTTTAATCAATGCAATTACTCTACCTATTTCCATAATTTGCACAAAGTTTTCTCATAATCTGGGTCTTTCCAGCACCACCTAAGCCATAGAGAACATACCGCAGTTGTTCATGCTTATTTGAAGAAGATTGTTTAAAATATACTTCTAGCTCAGACAAAATATCCTCTCTTCCAGTAAAGACCGGTGATGGCGGAGGAACTATAGGAAGCAGTTCTTGCCTAAAATTTTGTCTAGCACCAGTGTCATCTGTTTTATAGTATCAAAAAAATACTTCATTTGATGAAAGGAAGATCAATATACCAAGAGAGAAATCTTTAGCACGATGATTGGACAGAGAATTTGGATCTGGATTGGGTACATGAATTTGAATTACCGTTAGTGTCAACAACTTGGATGGTCACTCACCCCAACGTTGCGGAAAGATCTGAAGTGTTCCCGCAGTGTAGCTATCTCGACCGATCAAGTTGTGCACTGGCTCCGAAGTATGGGTAGTCCCATCCCTGGCCCGGTCATCATCATCCGCTCGACTCTTTTTTGCTGGCGGCCGTGTACTCTTGGACCGTGCACTGGGAGTGTCAATATTCTGGATCGCGTTAAACTCATCTGCTAATTGAATAACTTCAATGGAGGGACTTTTGCTATTGGCATCTGAATCATCGGACATTTGGCGTCCTCGCTTCCTCGAGTCTGAGTTCATGTCAAGAGTTAGAATGAATCTGTGGACATTAGAGTACTGGCATACGTACCCAGCCGGCGCTCGCCTTGATGAACGATTGTCATATTTTCTGCAACGTTTTGGTCTCCAGCGACACTGGATATTGTGCTGTTAGAGATGTCGTTATTGTTGCTCTTGCTGAATACGTTCATATTGAAAGAGGAGTGCGTAGTGGGGAGATGTTGGTAGTCGATGTGAAAGCCGATGGCTTATCTGAGTCGATGCAAGATCAATCATCAGGGGTAGGGTGTCCACTCTGTGGGCGTCGATACGCGACTACAATCACGCGGAGGTGGAACCCGTGGACCGCTGCCGGTTATCTTCTTTCCTTCCAAACCGCAATTCTTTCAAAGACTTTCATCCTCATGTTTACCTCTGGGCCCTTTTCGGCAAGTCTGTACTGCATTCGCGCAGAGCAGGCTTTCATTTTTACCTACGCGCATCCTCTACATGCCCGAACCGGTTATGTGGATGACAATGATGCAACAATGATGCGACAATGATGCGATAAAGGAGAGCTAACAAGTTAGCGACCGTCTTGACTTGTTGTACTTATCTCAGGCACCTGGTGCGTTGTTTCTTCATCTTCACTTGCTTGACAAGTTTAAACACTAAAGGCATACGCCTTCCCCACGGCGCGAACGACCTCTTCATTTCACTTCACTTCGAATTGGGGCAACGTGACTCAACGCAAGCCAATCGAGGCTACCATCATCCACCCTTTACCGGTACCTTTGTTAAACCCCCTGGTGGCAGATGACCAGAAC